CCCCCCCCATTTGCTCCTCTCCTTGAAAAGCAAAAGAACATAGATAGGGTTTTTGAAGGCCTGTAATTTCAGAAGTGGATGGCCAATCCTTCTTCCTAGTCTGTCTCAATTTTTAAATATATTTTTCCCCCAGAGATGTCTCAGAAGTCTTGGTACTCCATTTTAAAAGCACACAGAGCACACGTTGACTCTGGTCTGCCTCAGTTTCTTTTTTCTGGATCAGCACAAAGTTGGTTCCTATGAGGTGGAGGTTAAAGATCTCCCAAGTGTCTAGCTTTTCCAAATTGCTGACTCATTCTTTCACCAACAACTCCCCTTTTTCTCAATACTTTTCCTCCTGTCCTTAATCTTCAGCAAGATTTTATTTACATGTGATATTAGTGGTGTTTTTTTTATAATTTCCACTCTGTTGGGTAACCATTTTGGGTGTAGAAACAAATATGGATCTCTTTCAGTCAATTGGCTAGGTCTTCCCTACTTGTTGGCAAGGAACAGACACATCCAGGATTGCATTTGTTCCCTGAAACTCTCCATTCCTTCAATTCCTAGGGCCTTGTTTATTTCCTGTGCCTTCAGTTCTTTCTTTATTACCATTGATTCTTGATGTATTGCTACTGGTTGAAATGTTCATTGTCAGCCAGTTCTTTTTGGTACAGTGACTGTACATTCCTTCCATCTTCTTGTGATAATTTCTGCATCATTCAATATTTTGCCCATAGAATCCTTCGTGTTGCAACTCGAGACTTGAATCTGTTCTTCAGTTCTTTCAGCTTGAGAAATGCTGAGCGTTCTTCCCTTTTGATTGCCTGACTCCAGCTTCTTCCCATTTAATTGTAATTCTTTCTTTTGTCTTCTTGAGCTGCCCATTGAAATCTTCTGTTCAGCTTTCTTCAGCATTCCTACCTATTATTTTGGTTTTTTGAATAGCTATTTTGGTCTTTTTTTCCCTCTGTCTTTGTAATGATTTTGGTTTTATTCATGGATAATATCCTTGATGTGATCTTACAGTTCTTATGGTCTTTGATCATTAGTGTTTAGTGCATCAAATCTGTTCCTTTTTTTTTATTATTCAGTTCAATGAAAGAGACTTTATTGAGGGCCGAGGGCCATAGGGCTCAGAAGAAGGCCACCTGCAAGAGGCAAGGGAGCCAGTGAAGATGGGACTCTTATTTGACCTTTTTCTTGGGGCGCAGTTTGTTGGTGTGCCCACATTTCTTCTTGCGGCAATTGACAACACAGGGATGTGGGTGAGCATAACACTTGCGGCAGATCATCTTGTCGCAGTTATACCTCTGGGCGAGCTGGCGCAAGGAAGGCTCGATAATGCCACCACACAGGCACAGAACCAGATGCAGGGTGGACTCTTCCTGGATGTTGTAGTCTGAGAGTGTAACATCATCCTCTAGCTATTTGCTTACAAATAGCAGACGCTGCTGGTCAGGAGGGATGCCTTCCTTGTCTTGGATTTTGGCTTTGACATTCACGATGCTGTCACTAGGCTCAACCTCAAGAATGATGGTTTGCCATTCAGGGTCTTCACAAAGATCTGCATCTTTGCTTGTGCCACTCAGCTGTCTTGTTGAAGAGAAAGTTAAATCTGTTCTTGAGGTGGTTTTTAAATTCATTTGAGACAGATTCAAGGTCATATTTTTATTCTTGTGGGCTTATTTTACTTTGGAGAAATCCAGCTGGTATTCTGCCACTTTGCCAGATTGGACTATTAGAGCCAGTAATTGTCTTGCTTGGTGTCTCAGGTTTTCTGTATATGGAACCTTGTCGTCAGTACATATGACTTTACTTCATTCTTGCCAATTTGGATGTCTTTTCTTTTCTGGTCTTATTAACTGGTCGAGGACTTACAGTACAGTGATGGGAATGTATTTCAAGGACAACCTTGTTTGATGCCCATTTGAAAGGGGAATTCCTTCGGTCTCTCTCCATTAAGAGTTATCTTGGCATGGTCGTGGTATTATACTGTAGAATTGAAACTAATCCATAACTGACCCTCCAACAGGTTTTCAGAGGCACTTAATCTCATAGGACGAGATTGCTCATCATTTTACTACAGAGTAGCTGGTGGCCTCAAACCATGTGCCTTCAAGATTGCAGTGCAGCTTCTTGCCACTAGGCCACCTATGTGTTGTTGTTGTTATTAATAAACCATTGAGTCTGAAGTGACTCATAGCTGAGCCTCCACTGGGTTTCCAAAGGCAGTACATTACACGAGAGGACTGCCCATTGTTTTTCCATGCAGCAGCTGGTGGGTCTGAGACATGTGCCTTTGGGTTGGCAGGGCAACTTCTTACCACCAAACCCCCAGAACTTCTTTATTATATATAGGAACAAAATATAGCCTAATTCCATTGTTGTTCATTGTTGTTAGATGCCATCGAGTTGAGTATGACTCATAGCAACCCTATGAACAGTAGATCTGAACCCTGTCCTATCCTATGCCATCTTCACACTTCACACAATGGGCACATATTAGAGCCCATTGCAGTAGTCACTGTGTCAGTCCACCTGGTCAAGAGTCTTCCTCTCCTTTTTCAATCCTCTACCTTTCAAAACATCATGTCCTTCTCCAAGGAATAGCCCCTCCTAGCAACATCCCCGAAATATATGAGCAAACACTCCAGTTGCATCCTCTCCAAGATATATTTGTTTCTTCTCTTGGCAGTCCATGAGATGTTAAGTGCTCTTTTCCAGTACCACAGCTCAAAGGCATCGATTCTTCTTCTGTCATTCATTCACGATTCATTGTCCAGCTCTCGGATGCATAGAAAGTGATCAGAAAGGCCATGGTCTGATTCGGACGCAACTTAGTCCACAAACTGACATCATTACTCCTCAGTAATTTGGAGAGGTCCCTAACTGCACACTTTCTCACTGCAATACATCTCCTTATTTCTTGACTGCTGGTACCATGGGTGTTCATTGTGGACCCAAGTACGGTGAAGTTTTTGACAGTTTCAATCTCTTCTCCACCCATCATGATATTGCCTGTCAGTCCAGTGGTAATCATCTTTGTTTCCTTGACATTGAGATGCGTTCCCTATTGAAGGCTGCATTCCTTGATCTTCTGCAGCAAATGCTTCAAGTCCTCACTTTCAGCAGGCAAGGTTGTGTCATCTGCATAACACAGGTTACTGATGAGTCTCTTTCCTCCTTGATGCTACATTCCCCTTCATAGAGTCCAGCCTCTCAAATAATTTGCTCAGCATACAGATTGAGTAGGTATGGAGAGAGATTACAACTCTGCCACACCCCCATCCAAATTCTAAACTGTGTGGTGTTTCCTTGCTCTGTTTGCCTCTTGGTCTTGATACAAGTTTCACATGAGCACAACCAAGTGTTGTTCTTTTCAGTGTCAGCCACAACTTGTTATGATCCACATAATCAAATATATTTGTTTAGTCAATAAAGCACAAATAGGTATTCTTCTGGTATTCCTTACTTTCAGCCAGAATCCATCTGACATTAGTAGTGATATCCCTTGTGCCATGGCCTCTTCTAAGCCTGCTTGAACTTCTGGCAGTTCCTTTTCTATGTACTGTTCTAATTGTTTTTAATCATCTTGTGCAATATTTTGCTTGCATGTGATATTAGTGATATTTGGTAGTTTGCGTATTCTGTTGGATCATCTTTCTTGGGAATGGGAGCAAATAATGAACTTTTTCCAATCGGTTGGCTAGACAGCTGTCCTCCAGATTTCCTGAAATAGACTGGTGAGCACATCCAAGGCTGCATCTGTTAACTGAAACAAGTCATTTGATATCCCATCAATTCCTGGGTCTTTATTTTATGCCAAAGTCTTCAGTGCCGTTTCCACTTCCACTTTATTTGGAGAATAAAAAGGGAAGAACTTGGTCTGCATGTCTCAAACTGAGAGAACTGAAAATTAATTTAAACGTCAAGTTGCACTATTGAAAGATGATATGGGCAATATATTGAATGATCCAGAAAACATTAAAAGAAGATAGAGGCAATACCTGGAGTCAATGAGCCAAAGAACTGATTGATACGGATAAATTTCATACCCTATGAGCAAGAGGTGGAATTGGAATAGCTCGATTACGTACTCTTTTTTTATTAAAAGTACCAAGTTACAGATATCTTCAATTTTTTTATGTGGGTAATTCTTCTAGTTTTCAATCTTGTGTTCTTGTTCATGAATTAGCAAAACATTTTATGCAGAGGGAAAATGGTAAATATTTTCTCCTTTGTGGGCCATAAGATCTTAGTTTAATGGTAGAGTTCTAGTTAATGAGAGAGTGTGCTCCCCTCCTGGGATGATACCATCCTGCCCATCTCTTTTCTCTGTCCATGACTAGAGTGTGTCTCCTCCTGACCTGGCCCGTCCTACCCAGACCTCTCCTCTGCTCATGTCTAGAGCATGTCCTCTCCCGGGACATGGGCGTCCTGCTCAGCCCTCTCTGTCCCAGCACACAGCTATTTTGCCCAGCCCTCTCGTCTGCCTCTGGCAGGTGCGAGTTCTTCGGAAGGAGCTTGCTGCGGCGCCCACCTCAGAAGACACACACCCATACAAGGAGGAGCTGGAGACGGCTTTGGAGCAGTGCTTCTACTGCCTGTACAGCTTCCCTAGCAAGAAGAGCAAGGCCAGGTACCTGGAGGAGCACTCGGCCCCACAGGTGAGGGAGGCAGCTCTGCAGGATGGCTTCATGTCCATCTGTCTGTAGGAGGGAATCAGGGCAGCACTCGCCCTTGGGTGAGGGAAGGAGGTCTGTGGGCTGTCTGTCTGCAGGTGCTCAGACCAGCTAGTCTCCACTCCTGGCAGGAAGAGTAGCAAGAGAACAAGGAACAACAGTCCTTGTGAAAGTGAGCAAATGCTGACCATTTTGTTAGAATGTTTACAGATGCTGTTTGGTTGTTTTCAGTGATGTTTTTCTCCATTTAGATGATAGGAATGAATCCTTTTATTAACTTGACAGTAAATTAGTTTTTTAAAAATAATTAGTTTTTCATTTTCTGTTGTTTTGGTGTTTAAGGTTTTTTTAGGTGTACTAGGGGTTAGTGGTAGAACCTTTACCTTCTCTGTTGGAGACTTGGGTTCATGTTCTATGGGCCAACACCCACCCATCCCTGGGAATTCACTTCCTGTGAGCCAGCACCAACCTGCCATTGGGGTTCACCTTCTGTGGGCCAGCACCTGCCCATCCCTGAGGTTTCACCTCCTGTCAGGCAGCACTAACCCATCCCTGGGGGTTCTCCTCCTGTGTACCCACCTGTCCCTGGGGGTTCCATGTTTCTGGGATCTGAACAGGTTTCATTGGAGCTCCCAGGTTAAGGTAAATAAGAATAAAGGATCCAGGAATCCTCACCCAGTTGTGGGAGTGCTGTGAGAACCAACCCCACAGGTGCTGTTTTGTCCAGCTGTGTGAAAGTTCATGAGCCAAGGACTGACCCGAGGCCAGCGCATGGCAGCCCTTGCTGGCTCTCCAGCATAGAGACCTATCCCTAGGGTACCAGCCCCCAGAGGCACGGCATCCATGTGCCCTGCACACCTTGGGTCACCCAGACCATGGCATTTTTCAGGATCTGAGTCATCTGAACTGTGATTGGCCGCCCACAGTGACGGGGATGCAGTCAGTTCCCAGTGCCCATCCCTGCCCCTATGACCATGATCCAGCTCTTTTGTCTTACCTGCAGGTGGACCTCATATGGGAGGATGCCCTGTTCATGTTCGAGTACTTTAAGCCCAAGACCCTTCCTGAGTTCGACAGCTACAAGACAAGTACTGTGTCTGCTGACCTGGCCAATCTTCTCAAGAGGATCGCCACCATCGTGCCCCACACAGAGAGGCCAGTGCTGAGCCTGGACAAGGTGTCCGCCTACATTGAAGGCACCTCCACCGAGGTGGGCCCAGCTGACAGTGTGGGTACAGGGAGTGGGTTTGGGTCTACAGGGTACCAGTCTCACCCAATGCTTTTTCTTCCCTCCGCACATGCCCGCAGGTGCCCTGCCTCCCAGAGGGAGCTGACCCCTCCCCTCCAGTGGTCAGTGAGCTCTATTACCTCCTGGCAGATTACCACTTCAAAAACAAGGAACAGTCCAAGGCCATCAAGTTCTACATGCATGACATCTGCGTCTGCCCTGACAGGTGAGTGTCGGGGATGCAGGGGAGCCAGAACACAAGCACACCATGTTGCTGCAGGGGCTAAGGGGCTGGAGCACATAGCATTGCTGCTGCAGAGGGCCTGGAACATGCCATATGGCTGCTGTGGGGGTGAGGGGCGGGAGCACATTTCATTGCTGCTGTGGGGGGACTAGAGTACACCACATGGCTGCTGCGGGGAAGGGGTGCTGGAGCTGCCACATGGCTGCTGTGGTGGGAGGGGCTGGAGCACATTGCATTGCTGCTGCAAGGGGGCCTAGACTATGCCGCATGGCTAATGTGAGGAAGGGGGAGCTGGAACATGCCATGTGGCTGCTGTGGGGGTGCTGGAGCATGCCACATGGCTGCTGCAGGAGGTTGGAGCATACCATATTGCTGCAAGGGGACAAGGGAGGGGCGGTTGGACCACGCTGCTGCATTACTCCAGGGGAACTAGGGGGCTGGAGCATGCCACATTGCTGCAGGGGGAATGGGGTGGATGGAGTGTGCCACATTGCTTCAGAGGGACTGAGGGCTGCAGCAGGGCTTTGCAGACTGAATCCCACTGCATCGCTGCAGGAGAGCTGGGGAGCTAAATCATGCTGCCTTGCTGCAAGGGGCCTGGAGGAGCTGAATCATACTGCATTGCTGTAGGGAGCCTGTAGGGGCTGGAGACACTGCAGTGTTGCAGGAGGACTGTATCCTGCTGCATTGCTGCAGGGGGGCTGGGGAACTGGATCCCTTTGTGTTGCTGCAAGGGGACTGGGGCTGGATCCTGCTGCATTCCTGCAGGGGAGCTGGGGGACTGGATCCTGCTGCGTTGCTGCAAGGCGACTGGGAACTGGATCCTGCTGCATTGCTGCAGGGGAACTGGAGCATGCCACATCACTGTAGGGGGTCAGAAAGGCTGGTGCATGCCATATTTCTGCAAGGGGACTGTGGAGGGGTGGGACACACAGCATCACTGTGAGAAGATGGAGAGCAAGGGGAGGCAACTTCTTTTTAGAAGGTTTTGGGGCAGCCTTTGAGACCAGGGGAGGTGTGAGATGCCCTGCTGGGTCCTGGCTGGACTGTTGCCACTGCGCTTGTCCAACAGGGATATCCCTTGGATGACTTTGGGTGACAGACAGAAGAAGGCCAGGGTCCCAGTTATCAGCATATCAGCAGTGATGGGATAGGGAGCCCTCCTAGGTGGTAATGACTTCCTTGGACCAGGTCCTGAGTGCCTGTGAGGTGCTGGACAGTCTTGAACTTATTGTCTGGAGTGTACATGGCAGCCCTCTTCTTGGGCATACATCTTCTAAATTACTCTGCATGCTTGGACTCCAGACTTAGGTACCCCTGGTCCAGTCAGGACTTGGTGTTACTGAGCTGTGAGCTGGCTAAAGTCCTCCCAGCCAGCTGTAGAATCTGCAGGGGCATCGTGTTCTTAGCTGATGTCTCTGTCTCCACAGGTTCGATTCCTGGGCAGGCATGGCGCTGGCCCGGGCCAGCCGCATTCAGGACAAGCTCAACTCCAATGAGTTGAAGAGCGACGGCCCCATATGGAAGCATGCCACACCTGTGCTCAGCTGTTTCCAGCGGGCCCTGGAAATTGACAGCTCCAATCTGTCCCTGTGGATCGAGTACGGCACCATGTCCTATGCCCTGCACTCGTTTGCCTCTCGCCAGCTAAAGCAGTGGAGGGCTGAGCTACCCCCAGAGGTTGTGCAGCAGGTGAGGGGGCAGGTGACAGCTCACTGTACACCCAGGCCAGGAGACACACGCTCAGGTCCTGACTCTTCTAGCCCTACTGCTCAGCTTTCACTTTGAGGGTAGTTGAGAAATGGGGGTGAGTGTTGGCACAGAAATACCAGCTATTTCTCAGTTCCTTCAAGGGGCTAGTTGAGTCCTACATTCTCAGAAGTGAGCTGGGGCTTTGAAGTCCCTCCTATGGGAACGTGGTACAGGTGGGAGCTGCCTATGCTGCGCAGGGGACCCCGGCTGGAGGTGGGTGACATATCCCAGCACTGGTCAGATAGGGCCACAGTGGGACACTCGCTGCATTGCACTGCTGCTCCACCCCCTTGGATAGCACTTGCACTTGAGGGTGGCTTCCCTGATTGTGCCAGCCCCCCAACTCCATGTCCTCTGTCCCTGGTGATGGGTCAGTGACAGGAAGGTGTACCAGGCTATGGTGTCAGTTCTCAGGCTGTGGGAGGAGGCTCTAAGGCCATGGTCAGCTGGTAAAGGGGCCATTTTCCCTTTCCTTCAGCACTGTTGGTGCCTCCAGTAGGGGTGCCTAGATCCCTTTTGGCCCTGTCTGCACGTTTACTTAAAGGAGTACACCCAGGCCATACCACACAACACGTGCCTGGGCTGGGTCGCACTTAGGATGGGGCAGAAGAGGGGGACCTGGACAACTCAGACTTCAGCAGCACAGGTGCTGTAACTGCACCCTCCTGCCCTCAGGACAGGCATGTGGGGAACATAGCTGCTGCCAGGGCCTGGGTATTGCTGTGATTGTGCCCTCCTGCCCTCAAGCCAGGCATCTGGGGACACACTTGCTGACAGGGCCTCGATGGATGGCAGATTTCATAGCTTCCTCTGGATGACCATGAGGCCTCTTGTAGGACTGGGCAGAGCCGCACTCATGGTGTACAGCTCAAGCAGGCATTGCCCACTTCTGAGCGTTTGTTCTGCCCTGTGACGCTCCATGATAACCACCCTCTGGGTGCTGGGCTGCCTTTTCTGTCCTCGGAATGGCCAGTAGTACACAGATGCACATGCTGGCTCTCGGCCAGCACTGCTGACTGGGCAGTGGGACCGGTGCTAAAGGGGACCACGTGGGAGGGGCTGCACCTTGGACAACCCCCATACCTGTACTATCTGAGCCTGGCCATTTCCCTACCACAGCCAGTACCTCCATGCTCTCCTGCTTTCATGGAGCCACAGTTACGAGCACTGTTTGGGGACCTGGAATTCTCACAGCTATGGCGCTGACCCCATGCTTACCTCTTCCTCTCATCTCCCAGCCCCAGAGCTCCAACATGAAAGAGTACATGGGCACTGGCAGCTGCCATCCTGTGCAGAGGGGCAAGGCAAGGGATGGTCAGAGTCAAGGAGCACTGGGTCCTGTGCAGAGGGACAGGCCCAGGATAGTCAAGGTCAAGGAGCACTGGGTCCTTTGCAGAGGGGCAGGCCCAGGGAGGGCTGGGTCCTTAGAGCTGCGCAGGACCCAGCAGCAGACCTTCTGCCCTGGCTGTTTTTGTCCTTCAGACAGCATCTGTGGGAAAGGACGGGGTCTAGGCCCCATGGCCCTCGAGGTGACCCCCGTCTTTGCTGTGGATCAGAGTGTCCCACCTTAGTTCAGGCTGAGGAAGGGCCTGACTGCAGTGAGTGTCTGGCCAGCTGCTCCTCTGTGAGGTAGTGGCTATCTGGCAGTGGTCCCTCAGCTCCCCACCATGCCGAGCCTGGGGTAGTGGCAGCAGCCCTTGTGCGCAGCAGGCATGCATCCGGCCCACTGAGGGGCTGCTAGCACTACAGGGGCAGGTGGGCCTGCATCTGATGTGCCTCTCCCATTGTAGATGGAGGGACGCCGCGACAGCATGCTAGAGACTGCACGGCACTGCTTCACGTCTGCAGCCCGCTGTGAGGGTGATGGCGACGAGGAGGAGTGGCTTATCCACTACATGCTGGGAAAGGTGGCCGAGAAGCAGCAGCAGCCACCCGCTGTCTACCTGCTGCACTACCGCCAGGCCGCCCATTACCTGCACGAGGAGGCTGCCCGCTACCCCAAGAAGATCCACTACCACAACCCCCCTGAGCTGGCCATGGAGGCCTTGGAGGTGAGGTGTGTGGCCCCACTGCACCCCACAGCTGTGTGCTGCCACCGAGAGCTGTGCTTGTCTTCATTTGTCCTTGGGTGAACATGTGTCACCACTGTGCACCCAGCAGCTGTGTGCTGTCACAAGAACTTGTCCTTGTCCATGAGTGGGCTTGTGGTCCCACTGGGTGCCCAACTGCTGTGTGCAGTCACATGAGAGCTCATCTTCAGTTATCCCTGGGGGAGCGTGTGGCTCTGCTGTGTGCCCCACAGCTCTGTGCTGTCACACAGAGCCTTCGTCCTCAGTTCTGGGATGGGCGTGTGTCCCCATTGTGCCCCGTAGCTGTGTGCAGACACACTGAAGGCACATCTTCAGTTTTCCTGGAAAGGCATGTGTCCCCAATAGGCATTGGCACATGGCTCTGTGCTTCACTCAGAAGCAGCTCAGTATCACACACACTCAAGACCCCAGCTTGGTGTGCCTGCACACTAGAGTCACCATCTGTCCCTGTCACCACCGCACAGCTCCCATGAGCTGGCCTGCCTTGCACAGTGGCTTTGGCCTGCTTGTGGCATTCTGAGAATGACATTCCTCCCAACTAGTTAAAACGTAAGGAGCTCTCACTAGAGAGCTTGTACACAGAGAATTGTGCTGCTAATGTAAGGTAATGTAAGGCAGTGCCTCTCTGGCAGTTCAAATCCACCAGTTGCTCTGAGGAGAAAGGGCCAATTTCCTCTAGCGTGACCTGCATATAGGATCAGTTTTGGGAGGGTTCCGATTCAACAGCAGTGAGAGAGGAGGTTTTCACTATTGAGTCAAGCATTCCAAATACTTGACCTGCCATTTCGGTGAGCTTTGTCCCTGCCTCATGTCCATCTGGTGTATGTTGGTGTCTCTGATTCTCCTGCATCCAGAAGGGAATTGCTGGGCCGTGTTTGCTGGGCTTCTCGGGGTGCATTACCTCCATCTGGGGTGGTGTTGAGTGCTACTCTGCCTGGATTACCTAGCAGCCCTCCTTGCTCACCTCTGCACCTTCTCTCGAGAGCCCCCCTGGGGTATTTCGGGGCAGGTTCTGTGCCTTTAAATGGGGTGCCATCTCTTTGAGGGCAAGAGACAAGCTGGGCCTTGACTAACCTGGGTCCTCTCTGGAATTTTTTACCTGTGGGGTTTCCAGCAGCTCCTTTGATGCGTTTGTAAGTTGAGGCATATTCTAAGGGCTCCTGGGATGAAATTGGCGCACCTGGTTTCCCACTGTCCACCCGAACCCAGGTTAGGGCTCCCTGGAGGTGCCATTGACTCTCCCAGTAGAAATGAAGTCACATCCTACCTCAGGGAGGGAGTCCCATCTTGTGAGTGCGGGCCCCGATCCCCCACCATGAGGAGGAGGTGCCAGGAATGGAATGCCTGGGTTCCTTCACTCTCATGGCTTCCCCTCAGGTGCTGTGTGGACAGGGGTCAATATGAGCCGGGTGTAAATAGTCACCTTTCCGTCCAGAGCTCGTAGGCGTCAAGACCAGCCACATGTCCCCCCCAAGATCCACACCCAGGCTGTGTGCTCGGCCAGAGGCTCATACCCAGTTCGTCCCCCAGGTGTACTTCCGGCTACATGCGTCCATTCTGAAGCTTCTGGCGAAGTCGGACTCTGGCGTTGGTGCAGAGGTGCTGGTCAGCTTTATGAAGGAGGCTGCCGAAGGGCCCTTTGCCAGGGGCGAGGAGAAGAATACACCCAAAACTTCTGAAAAGTGAGTGAAAGGGCTACACACACTCACTCCCCAGGGCGGTGCTCAGTTCCGCTTGGGGCAGCAATACCTATGGATGCACCTGGCTCCATCAGGTGCAAAGCTGGTTCGTCTGCCAACAAAGAACTGATGGTTACAGAGACGTTCCAACTGTCCTTTCTGCCACTCAGGCAGGTCTGTAGGGACAGAGTGTCTGGTCCCAAAGAAAGGGTCTGTAGTGACAGGGTTGTTCTGATTGTGCCCTCTGTCCCCACGATGGTGACAAGATGTTCTGACTATCCCCCTCTCTCCCCCCATCCCAGGGAGAAGGTCTGTAGTGACAATGTTCTGGTTATCCCCTCTGTCCCCAGGGTGAAGGTCCATGGTGACAGGGTGTTCTGACTGTCCCCAAGGAGAAGGTCCAAGGTGACAGGGTGTTCTGACTGTCCCCTCTGTCCCTAGGGGTAAGGCCCAAGGTGACAGGGTGTTCTGACTGTTCCCTCTGTCCCTAGGGATAAGGTCCAAGTGACAGGGTGTTCTGACTGTGCCCTCTGTCCCCAGAGAGAAGGCCTGCCTGGTGGATGAGGACTCCCGGTCATCAGCTGGGCCACTGCCGGGCCCTGGAGCCTCCCTCCCCTCCTCCGGTCCAGGTCTGACATCCCCACCTTACACAGCCACTCCGATTGACCACGATTACGTCAAATGTAAAAAATCCCACCAGCAGGCCACGCCGGACGGTACAGTCCCTGTTCTCCCGCCTTCCGGGCGGGCGGCACGCGGCTCCGGGGTGGGGGGCTCCGGTCGAGCAGGCACTTGTTTGCGGGCGGGTGCAGGGTCTTGGGCGACACGGGCAATGTCTCAGCTCATTGATCTCATAGACTTGGTGGTCTGCGCTTCCCTAACATGCACTGTCGCCACCTGCCCACTCACGGGGCTGGGGTGATGGGGTGGCAGGAGGGGGCCATCACTCTCTCAACCTGTGCCTTCCAGCTGCAGGTGGGCATAGACCTGGTCTCTGAGGACCCTTGGAGAGACAGTGTCCTGACACTGCTTCATCACAGCTTGGTCCTTCTCGTGATTACAGGAGGGCACAACCCAGCAGGCATTTGTAGGTGATGGTACACGGACCGTCTATGCGGAGGGGCAGGTGGCGACATCACTCACACTCCACTAACACCCGGAGGTCTGCATGCACCCTCAGTCCTCATCCTCTCCCTTCACTGTGCTCAGCTGGTGACGGTGCTGCCCGGGGACCAGTGGAGGGGACCTGATGGTAGGGACAGGCAGGAGCTCCTCCTCAGGCCTGGAGGAGAGACGTGTGCTGGACACAGGCCATGAGGGATAAAGTGGAAAGGCCCTGGGCAGCTCAGGGTGCCCACTCCCCACAGAGGCCAGGAGGAGGTGCATGGCGCCTCCTGACTGTCCTCTCTGAGCAGAGCAGGGTCCCACCTCCCCACCTGGCTGCAGCTCTGGACAGTGTGAGTGCAGGAGACTGCGTGCGTGTGCATGTGTGTGTGTAACCTGCTACTCTCCCACCTTCTCTAGACATGAGCCTCACTCAGTTTGCAGTGGTGGACACCCTTAAGCCGGAGCCAGGATCTCCAATGCACCCCTCACACAAACATGTACACACCTGCTGAGGTCCTGGATCTGTGCTCTGTTCACAGAGCCTCATCCTCCATGTGGTCACCCTTCACACACAGAGGACAGGGTCAGCATTGCTGTGTGCACTGTCCCTGCTGCCTGTCGCTGTGCTGGCACACATGTGTGACAGCTCGATCCTCAGGCAGCACTGTCCCACACAGCAGCCCCTCTGGAGGACCCTCCAAACAGACTCCAGGATGGTTGAGGTGGCTCTAAAGTGCTGGGTGCTGCTGGCATTTTCAACGTGCTCCCCACCGGTGATGTAGCACTGCTGCCTAGTGTTTCCCAGGGTCCTCACCCTTACCTCTGTAGCAGGCTTGTCTGCAGCAAGACGACAGCTGGCCTTGCCTGGCCATAGCTGTTCGTTAAAGCACTGATGTGTCCTCCTACTAGCCTCCAGCTCCTGGGGAAACAGTGTGCTCTGAGTGAGACCTGCCAATTTTCTGAAGGTCCCCCTACCCACTTCTCTCACTTCCTGTAGCCCAGCCAGGCCAGGCCGGCAGGTCCACCTGCCCTCCTCTCACTTCCTGTAGCCCAGGCATGCTAGTGGGTCCCCCTGCCTACCTATCCTCTTGCCTCCTGGGGCCCAGCTTACCCAGGCTGGTGGGTACCTCTGCCCACCTCTCTTCCTTCCTTAAGCCCAGCCAGGCCAGGTTGATGAGTCCCCCTGCCCACCTCTCCTCCCATTTCCTGAAGCCTAGCCAGGCCTGGTTAAAGGAAACCCTTGTCCACCTATCCTCTTGCCTCCCAAGGCCCAGCCAAACAGACAGGTCCTCCTGCCCACCTCTTCTCTTGCCTCCTGGGGCCCAGCCTGGACAGGCTTGTCAGTTCTTGGGTGCAGAATATGTAACAACACATGTTCACTGGCCCTTGGTCTCAGACCAGTCTTGGGTTCTCTCTGTGGGAAGGAGAATGCCACAGATTCACTTATGCTGCAGCGTGGAAGCCAGCAAGCAGGCTGGGTCTAGTGCAGGTGAGCAGATAGACCTCAAGAGGCCCCATATCTGGTTCTTGTACCTAGCTTGGTCAGTGACTTCTCTGTAAAACATGAATCATTTTCCCTGTGGGACAGTGTGAGGAATAGTAGAAGCACCTGCTTGTCATAACCTCCTCTGAGATATACTCCCACTCCAAAACTGTGGTGCTGGCTGAAGATGAGGTGTAGCAGGCCAGAGAGGCAGCCCCCAGGCTGTCCTCCCAGGCATTGTCCTTCCAAGCTATTGAAGTCCATCCTCCTCTAAGCCCATCCACCTCCCAGTCCATCCTCCTGGCCTGTCCACCTCCTAGTCTGTCCTTCTCGCTGCCTGTCATCATCACAGCCCGTCCTACTCCCAGCCCATCCTCTTCCAAGTTGTCTTCTAGTCTGTCTTCCTCCAGGGCCTGCCCTCTTTCTGGCCCATCCCCTTCCCCAGCCAACCATCCTCCCAGTTTGTCGTCCTCCCAGGCCTTCCCTCTCCCAGCCCATCCACCTTCTGGTCTGTCCTCCTCCCAGCCCATCCTCCTCCCCGAAGGCTGTTAGAGCTGAACCTCTGCTTGGAGCTGGCACCATGTGTCCCAAGATGCTGTTGGGGCCACCTCTCCACTCTGCAGTCCCTTCTCACTCACAAATCTCTTAGAGTCACTGAGGGTTTGGGTATGATTTAGAGCAGTATAGACAGCTTTCAAATTCTGTGTAGGGAATTTAACTTTTGATAACTGCAGCTTGGGAGACTCAGATTCCCACTGAACCACCCACTAGGATGGGAAGCTTCCTCCTACCCTCCCACAGCTCTGGTAAAGAGGTTTTCTGAAATGCCACCCCAGCTTGGTCACAGCCAGCTCTTAAGGAGCAGATAGGACCCATAGATGATTTCCAGACCCTCTAGTTAAACTGAGAGAGAGGGAGAAAGATTGTCTCACAACATCCACCCAGGGAACTGAAGCACTTGGTGAAGGAGGATCACTTGGGGACCTCACATGACTTCCAAGGGCCTCCCTCCCCACGACAGCTGCCCACTCATGTCAGCAGAGCATGTGAAGGTCTGTGTGGTGCGTGTGTGCATATGTGGGTGTATATGTGTGTGTTCAGGCAGCCTGCCAGTAGGACACACTCACACTTACACAGGAGGAAGGCAGCCCTGGGGCTGATGTCCTAGCACCTGGAAGGCCTGTGTTCACTGACAGGTCTCGAGGACTGGTCATAATCCTCACTGTTTACTTGTGCTCTTTATTACCCCAGCACACCAGAACCAAAAATGCTGCCAAGGACAGGCCCATTTTGGGGAACAGCTGGGGCTGAGCCCTTCCAGGGGTCAATTAGCCCTGAGCCAGGACGAGGCAGTGCTGCTCTGGCTCACAGAAGGGCCAAATCTCCTGGCGGGGTGGACACCCTTTCACAAGATTAAAGTCAACCATGGCCTATGGGTGTCGGAGGGGACCAGCAGGGCGGGAGTGGGCTGTAGGCTGTGGGCCAGTGACTTGTCTGCAGCCGATCAGAGAGGGCACAAGACCTCCAAGTTGCACACCAATCTTCTCTCTGCCACCATGCTGCCAGTGTCCTAGGGCAGGTGCAGCCCTCCTCAGTCTGCCACCACGCTGTCATCATGTGTCTACTGTGCTGTGTCCATGTGTGCCCATCCTCACCTCCTCCCACACCCCTCCGCCAGGATTGCCCGTGCTGCCCTAACCCTGATCACTCTGTCCTCCAGGCTGTCTCTTCGTTTGCATTTGTCACGGCTCGCTTACAGGACAGCCCAGACGCATGCTCGGCCGCAGCCCAGCGCCCGGCCTCCCATGATGGGCCCTGCCGAGCCCACAGGCCTGTGGTTTGCAGAGTGTGTCGCTGTGCTTGGCTTCTGCCGACTGCCTGTCCCCTGGGTCCAACTAGCCAGCGTGGCAGAGGCCTCTCCCCACCAGTTGCTGGGACTTTTCTGTATCTGCATTGCTTTGCTCTTGTGTACACACACACAGTGCAGGCTCTGGGCCACCTCATTCTCTTTGTGTGGACAGATGTGATATAAGCACAGAGATGCAGAATCACTGACCTGATATGTGGCTGACTGTGTCCAGGCCATGGAGGAACATTGCCCGGTGATCCCAGCCAGTTGACCTCGCTTCCTGGGGCTAACCAGGAGAGAAGAAAAGCTATGTGTTTCCTTAGAGGAGAAGTACTCAATAAAGCAGGATGCCTGCTAGTCCCCAGGAGGATGGGCTGTCAGTAGAAGGTGAGGTGTCCCCTTTTTGCAGTCTTGAGTTTTAAAGTATCTCCTCCAGTTGTGGCAACCATGGTAGTTTTTAAGTTCTTGCTGTAGGGAACAGAGATGAGGATACTGTGCTCTTGACCACCCAGGCTGGATTGGTGGACCCCTGGGTGTCCCAAGTGCTAGTACAGAGACGAGTGCTGTGAGCAGATGGAAGGGCGCAGGCCAGGCTCTCGGAGCTCAGCGAGTGCGTGCTGGGTGAGCAGTGTGTGCACTGGGTGGTTGGCCTCTGTGGACCCCGCTCATGTTCTCATTTTTGTCAGTGTCACTTCAAAGATGCTCACAGAAGGTGTGGTTCAACCTGCGATTGCAGAAACCTGTCCCACCTTTTCCACTGCGGCTCTGACAGGGATGTGTGTGGCCCGCAGAGCTGAGTTGGTATGGAGCCATTGTGTCAGTTCCAGGAATGGTGTGGAATGGGCCTCTATCAGATGAGGGTGGCTGTGATTTATAAGGGGAAGGGGCTTCTTGCACAGTTACTCAGCTAGTGAGTGGAACAGGAGTTGGTTCCTTATTCATTGAGCCTCACATCTAGGTATGTAGAATTCAAGACAAGACATTTTCATTTTTATACTTCCATGTTTTTCACCACTGTTGGTCTATTGGACATCCCACCATCAAGAAAACAAAAGTCCTTCCCACTGGGCCTATAGGCAGCATCATGATAGATGGAGAAAATGTTGTCAGTTATTTCGTCTTGTTTGGATCCAGTCAACACCATTGGTACCTTTTGGTACCTTTTTGATTTTTGAAATCAAAAGACCTGTTACATTGGGAAAAGTGTTGCCAAGAACCTCTCCAAAATACTATGAAGCAAGGTTATGAGTTTTAAAGACTAAGGTGCATTTGAAAAT